TGAAAGGAGCCCTGGTGGCACAATGGTGAAGTGTTCAGCTGCTAACCAAAAGGTTGTTGGTTCGAACCCACCCAGTGATGCTGTGGGAGAAAGACTTGACCATCTGAAGAAATGCCAACAGAGCAATTCTACCTTGTCACCTGGGGTCACTGTGAGTCACAAACGACTCCATGGTGCACAAGCATGTGTGGGAGGGTACTGGAGGTCAGCAGAATTCTGACGGTGCCTGAGGTCCCCCTGGAAAGGTAAGACTCACCCCCAGCCCAGCCCAGCTTCCTCTCCGGGAATAGCAAACCTCACTCACTGATAAAGAGAAACCCTCTTTGGACATGACTCTGGAGTGACAGGATGGGCCCCGAATCTGAGCACTGGCCTGTCCTCCCTCTGCCTCAGACCCTCCCCTCTTTCTTCCCTTCTGCACGTCCACAAGACCACTGGGCTTCATGCCCTCACTTCTCCCTACACGGCCACTTCTAGAATATGAGACCCTGACAGGGGACAGGTTCCCTTCCATTTCTTTTCTGAGCTCCAACAGCCTGCTGGACACGGGCCATGAAGATTCAATAGGTACTGTGTATGCAACACATCCTCTCCCTTCACCTCATTCAAATCTGCTCGGCCCCAGAAAGAAACCTGGGGGTCATTCTTGCCACCTCCTCCTCCTCAAATTGCCAGCTGGCATCAGTCTTGTGCATTCCATGCCCTGTCAGTCTCCCAGCTCTCCCTTCTCCATCCCCAGGGATGCAGATGCGGTCCCAGCTGCCTAAACCACTGCAGTCGCTTCCCTGCCTCCCCTCCCTCCTTTCTACTCCCCACACGACTTCCAGAGGACTTTTGATAAAACACAACCTGGGTTATATCCCTGACCTGCTTAAAAGCTTTGTTTGGAACCTACCACCTTAGGAGAAAATCCAAACTCCTTTCCATGCCTTTCAGGACTTAGGCCTGATTTCCTTTGCGCAACCTCATCTTTCGTCACTTGCCACAATCTAAATTAGCACTGGGTGTCTCTAGCCCTCCCCCATACTGTGCTTCAAGGAATGAACTGCTCTCCACCTACTCTGGTGCAACTCAGAGGTTACCTCCTCCACGAAGCCCTCCCTGAATTCTTCCTCCAGCTTGGGTCACATCCCTCTCCGAGCATGTCCCACATCAAGTAAGTGAGGAGTTGCCTTGTCAGTAACCTCTCTGGGGAGGATGGGCCTCAGGCCCAGGGGCATGCTGGAGCCAACTTGTTTAGTGGCGCCTAGGTGCACATCTCTCCCAACCCCATGCTTTGTGGTGTTATGTCGGTATATTAAAAATTGACTATGGTTTGAAACATTTTCACCATGGAATTGGCAAAAACTATAAATCAGGTCTTTCATTCTTTCTTTTTTGGAGGCTGGTTTTTATACAGTTGGGAGTTCTTGAGTTGTGCAAATGGTTAACATGCTTAGCTTTTAAATGGAAGCTTAAAGATTTGAGTCTGCCCAGAAGCATCTCAAAAGGCCTGGTGATGAGCTTCTGAAAAAATCAGCCATGAAAAAGCCTATGGAGCACTGTTTTACTCTGACACACTTGGGGTCACAGTGAGTCAGAGTAGATTTAATGACAGTTGGTTTGTTAAATACATACTAGCATACCACTGCTTAGGCCCAACTCTGGTCCACCAGCATATGTGTACTTCATAGAAGGATGATTGAAGAAGAATGGATAGATGGATGGATGGATTTACAAAAACATCTGGGGTCCATGTACTGACCCCTAGTGTCTGGGCACACAAACATACATTCCCACTCATAGTGATCCTATATGGGGTTTCCAAGGGGTGACTGGTGGGCTTGAACTGCCAACCCTTTGGTTAGCAGTCCAGTGACTATCCTGTAGTGCCACACCAGGACACCACAAACATATGAGGGGACTTTAAAAATTCATGGAAAAAGGGAATGAAAAGATAATGGGATTTTTCCATGACCTTTCTGAATTTCCTTCAGATGCTCATCCCCCATCAGATCACACTTCCTACCATGAATTCCTCCCAATGTCCTGTGTCCTTATTCTCACCAGTCCCCTTGGCAAGCCAGTCTTGCCAGCTTACCAACAGGGTGAAGAGGTGGAGGCAGGGGTAAGCAGAACATGAGACCAGCCTTGGGTAGGTTGGGGCAGGACAAAATGGGTGCTTCCTCAGTCAAGAGGTTGTTAGAGAGGAGCAAGAGAGGCATTCTCGTCCCCATAGAAAGACTGAAAGATGGGCCAGGTAGGTGACCGTGGGGGAAGACAGGGCCTGGGGATGGTATCAGCAATGGGCTTGTCGAGAGGGCTGGGCAACTCGTGCAGGTAAGCATCAGCAACATGTTCTCCAGTGCCCCCTCCAAGCTGATCGATACCCGGATCGATGGACACAATCGCCTCATTAAAGGGACCACAGGGAAACCATGAGCCTCTGGCTCCACACGCCTGTCAGCATCTGCTGACGTGGTCATCACTGTCTCTCCACTTTCTTCCTTAACATGATTCTACCCCTCTTTCCATCTAGAAGGCTCTGCCCTTGGGGGCATTGGGGTCTCAGTCTCTGTTTTCATCTCCCTCTCTGGACCTCCCTGCCTCTAGGGCTCTATTCCACCCATCTCTCACTCTGTGTCTCTGTGTCCCTTGTCTCTGCCTGCCCTGTGCCTCTATGACTCCATCTGTAATCTACCTCCCCATCTCCCCGTCTCTCCCTCTGTGTCTCTGTGTTCCCCTGTCTTTATACCTATATCCCTCCACCCAGGTCTCCGACAGTCCTTCTATCTCTGCAGCCCCTCCCTGGGTCTCTGTCTCCCCCTCTGTGTCTCCCGCCTCCCAGCACCCCTCCCAGCCTGCTTCGGCTCCCGGGCCCAGATGGCGGGATGTTCATGCTGCAGTGCCTGCAAGCACAGGGCCATGGCTGCTTCTGGGACTCCTTCCCACCCCCAGCCCGTGAGTACACTAGGCTAAAGTCAGTCAGCTGTCGTGTCCCCCCCGCCCGCCTACTGCTAAGGGCTCCCACTCATCCCCATGAGCCCACAGCAACCAGGTATGGGGACAAACTCCTGCCTGGAGCAGCCATTACACCACCATTGAGGAGGGGCTCCCTGCTGCTGAGGACACAGAGGAATCTGGACAAGGAGCTGTTGTAGGCACCCCTGACTGATCACTTTAACTGCCTCTCCAATGGGGTGTTCTTCTTGACGCCTAACTGAAAGCCCTCTTGCTGCGGCTTCGTCTGTCTTTAGTCTATGTGACTCAGCTTCTTCCCAGAGTAGAGTCTCTACCAACAGCATCTGGCTGGGCAGGGATTTCAGGGCACACCCCAAGGGAGAGAGAGGTGCTGAGAAGGTACCCCCTTCCAAGGCAGAACTGGTGTGGGGGAAGGGAAGACTCAGAAACTAGGGTAACAGAAGGTTAGAGACTGCCATCACCTGGGTCCTCAGAGACAGCTGCCCCCACCCTTCCCCACTAGCCTGGCAGAATGGAACACCTCTCCCCAGGAGGCTGGCAGAGTGAGTGTAGTATGCACACACACCCACGCCCCACACAGCCCAGACACAACACGCCCACCAACAAGCCACACACGTCCACCTGCTGATACCATAGCCAGTGTCCCGAGCCGCCCCACCCTCTGGCCCACCAATGTTGCCTGGACAGCAAGGGAACCAGACACAGCCATTTAGGGTGGGGAGTAGGGCCTGAACCACAAGGAAGTGTCGCTAAGGTGATATGATGGGACTTGCTGGGGCTGAGAAGCACCTGACAGTTGGGAAAAGGAATGGAGTATTCAACATTTCTGGTGAAGAGGCCAGTGGGATTGTGGGTAGGGACTGGCACATGAGCATCTCACTGTGTGCCCCCGTCCCTGCTTGGACAGTCACTGCCCAACTCAGACAGGGCTGGAGACCTTGGCTTTATAACTCTGCTCCTCTACACATCCATACCCCAGCATTGTGGAAGTAGAGGGTGGGGGAGGGGGTGCATAGCTTTAACTTCACACCAGGAAAGGGCAGGTATGGTGGCCCAGCTCCCTCCCCATTACTGGAAGAAAAGAGCACAGAAGAGCCTGTGAATTAAGGCACTGCCAGCCAGCCTCCCCCTTCTCCCCAGATGAACCCAGGTGGGTGACCTAGGAGGGCTGGCTGTGGAAGGGACCCTGTGGGATTGACAGCAGGCCACGTTGTGAGGTCAAAGGGCAGGCCCCTGTGGTACCTGCTGTGACCTCCACTGAGTCAGCAGCCCTGTGAGGGGGTGAGCAGACCATGTGTCCCCAGACCATCCTCTGTCAGCTCAATGCTGAGCTGACGGGAGGATAGCTCCCAGCCATCGGCCCCACAAAGAAAGCCTGCTCCCTCTTCCACATGACAGCCCTTCAAATATTTGAAGACAGCTCGCCTGTCCCCGCTGAGCCTCCTCGTCTCCTGACTAAACACTCCGGTTCTTAGAACGATTGCTCAAACGCGATGGTTTCAAGTCCCCTCACCTTGCTGGGCACTAGCATCCAACAAGCACCAAAACTGCTCACAGCAAGACACTCAGAGCGAGGCCAGAACCAGCTTGCCTCCCTCCCAACTCCACAGACTACCATTTTACCCAAGTACAGCCACCAACAATCCTCGCTTTACCCCTACCTACACCGCCCCCTCCACCCCCAGTCAGGTAAGTATTGGGGGGTGGGGGACGGTCAGCACTGGGTTTGTGGACCCTCAACACCTCCCCTCCACTCTTTCATCTCCATAAGCCCAAAGTTCTTCTAATTACTTGTCCCTCTAAAGAGTCCTTGCACCCCCCACTGGTGCTCAGCACTCATCCACACCCTTCCAAGCCAACCTCCTTGGAGAAGGCTTCCCAGATAGAAGACGCCCAGCTCAGTCCTGTCTCTGCCCTGGTATCCTCTATAAGTCTCACTCATTCTCCATCCCATCTCCCCTCCTCCCTGCCATGCAGACTAGCAGAGTGGACAGTGAGGAGGAGGCTGGCAGTAAGCCTGCCTTTGTCCATGGCCCTACCTGTTCGTGGTACTCGATGCCCATGCTGAGTGTATTGACCAGGATAGCAATCATGATTCCCCTGCCAAAGTACTTGCTGTCCACAATCTTCCGGAATGTGTCGCAGATCAACCTCCAGAAGGCCAGCACAGAACTGGGCTCTGTGTCTGGCCCTAGGCTCCGCTGCCGCTGGCTGTGGGGATCCCGGAGGTCTCCGTGCTGGGCATCCTGAGTGAACTCGTACACTGCCTCACTGTCTGAGTCGGGCACCTCATGGTCGGTGAGCTCCATGTCTCCTGCCCCAACCCGGGCACAGTAGGGACAGCTGTCTGGGCCGCAGGCTCCGCTGTCTGCCTTTAAACAAGGGCTGGAGATCTTGCAAGAGCTTTGGCAGGCACCTGGGATGGGAGGTTAGAGGTTAGAGGCTACAGGATTTCTCACCTAGACCAGCCTTGCCCTGAGAGCATTATGAAATATGGAATGAGAAGTTATGGGATGGGGTCATTACAGTGATGGTAGTACTAGGCACTAAGGGGCCAGGGGAACTGAATGCCCTGTAAGGGGGGCAGTCTTAAACAAGAAACACAAAAAAATAAGCTACACAGAATCAGAGGATTCTGACTCTCATCCTACAGTGCCACACCAAGGTTCGGTGACCCTATAGGACACAGTAAACTGTCCCATAGGGTTTCTAAGACTATAATCTTTAGGAAAGCACACTGCCACATCTTTCTCCCTTAAAGGAGCTCGTGGATTGGAGCTGTCAACTGTTGATTCACAGCCAAGTGCTTTAATAAATGTGCCATCAAGACAAGAAAATGCCCCAAATGCCAACAACACCCCATTGACAGTCATTGATGGGGTGTCTTAAGATTCAGTCAGAGAGGTGACTTTGATGTCCTTTGAGGCCCTTGGCTTCCTTTATGTCCCAAGAGTCCTCAATAAGAAGCTTAGAACCACCTAGTAACTGCGTCACTTACCAAGGGATCCTTTAAGACACACACACATCTATACAACACACACCAAACATGTTTGTACACATAAATGCACACACGTGCTCACACACACATGTTCATGCACACACACTAGAACACATGCACACATGCATTTATAATTTTCTCATCAGTATCACAACTAGGTACGTACACATGTACACCACACGTGCACATGCCAGACATGTCTGTACACACACCAGTCACACACACACCAGCTGTGCACTGTATGTATACATACACACCGGACACAGATGGGCTACACATGTGTATACCAGACACATGTACATGCAAATGCATATCTGGTGTGTATACCATGTATGTGCACACACAAATCTAAACTCTGAACATGTGTGCTCAGACATGCACACATACCAGAAACATACACACACCAAACAAGTATGCTACACATGTGCACACACAAACACATGAGGCAAAGGCACACACATGCACATGAATACTAGACACATACACTGGATACATGATGCTCACAGGCATGCACTCATCGGAAGAGATGCACATAGAAGCACACATCACACGTGAATACCAGGCACACATGCATATGCCCACTTGATCCACTGATTTGAAAACACATACATGCACCAGATGTGCATGCATGCACACACAATGGTCTAGCCCAAGACGTCAGTGACCATTGAAGTCCAGCTTTGGTGACAGAATTTGAGAGTTGAACGGCACTTCAGAGACCACCCAGGTGAAGCATGTACTGAAGGCAGCAGGTCAGAGCCTGGCCCACGGTAGACACTTGACAAATGCACTCCTCTGCCTAGCTGTACATGGGAGGAACCTGACACGTGCATGTGACTGACTCAGGTCCCCATGGCAGGAGTGGAAGGGCTGGCACGGCACCCTTCGCACTGCCTCTCTCATGGCACTGTCTTGTCCCAGCCCACACTCCCACTGAGCATCCCCACAAACACCCCATTGCATTCCTTTCTACAGGGACTCTCTTTGCCTCATCAGACTGGTGCCACCCACAAACAGTCTCTCACTCCCCTTTGAGGATGCCACTTATTAGGCCAACAGCCCCTGAGGACTTGCTGCTCTGGGTCTGCGTCTCCCTGTAGGGAAAAGCTGTAACGTACATTTATAAGGTCCCTTTTGTGGAGAGCATGGCACTGGGCACAGTTGGCTACCATTCCCTTCTGAGACTCACCACAAGCAGTATGAGTATGGACCTTCCAGTGGATGCCCCGAGTCTAAATCCCAATGAAACAGCAAGTCACACAACCCCTCTAAGCCTCCTTTGTCTCATCTGTAAAATGGGGATGCTGACCTAAGCTGTCAACAGGTTTCACAGGGATTTTGCTTGTAAAGCATGTGATGAACACATACTTATCGACCAACAAGAGTTAGATAGCACTGCCAAAAGCATAGAGCAGAGAACACAGTAGGTGCTCATGATGTGACCGTTGCTGGACTCTGTCAAGTCGATTGAACTCACAGTGACCCATGTGACAAAGTACAAATGCCCCATTGGGTTTTCGTGGCTGTGATAACAGTTGCTTCTCGGAAACTCTACGCAGGGTCGCTGGAGTCAAAACTGACTTCACGGCATTTAATAACAACAATCTTTACAGGATCCGAATGCCAGCGCTTTCTCCACTGGAGCCACTAGGTGGATTTGAACCAATGATGTTTTGGCTACCAGCCAAACACCTAATGATTGTGCCACGGGGAGCTCCTTCATGACATGATGGTTCTAATTAAAATACAGTAGACCCATTGCTGCCAAGCCATTTCCAACTCGTAGTGATCAACTTGCCCGCACTCAACAACAACAACAAGGACAACCAATGATCCTCCTGGACAGAACAGAACTGCCCCAGAGGGTTCACTTGACTGTAAATCTGTACGGAAGCAGACTTCTGCATCTTTCTCCTGAGGAGCAGCCAGTGAGTTTGAACCACTCACCTTTCAGTTAACAGCCAAGTGCTTAACCACTGCACCACCATGTTAATGTTTCCATGTTAACACGTGAGAAAATGAAGATGCAAGGAAGTGATGTCACTTGGCCATGAGTGACAGATGGGGATGGACACCTGGTTCAGCTGACCCCAGACCCTGAGTCTTCTCTAGGACACCAGGCCCCCAGGTAAGGCTCACCCCCACACCCCAAGCTCTCACCCGTGCTCTGTGTCTCCAGCAACTTGTGCATGGAGCTGTAGGGTCTCGGTGGGATGTTGAGGCTTGTGAGGGTGGGGGGCCCAGATGCGGAAGCCACCTCCACTAGCGCCTTCTCCTTCAGCAGCTCTGGTGGAGAGCTGGTATGCACGGTGGGGTACACCTTTCCACTGCCTACAGTCCTGCCGGATGCCTCAGATGGCGACCTGGGAGGGGGCGCCTGGCAGCGGACTGGTTCCAGGTGGCAGTCAGCATGGTAGAAGCTGTGCACAGACTCTGTGCCCGCCGGAGGACCCCCAGAGAGGACAGGTGTGGAGGGTGGTGGCAACATGAGCCGGCGGGACCCATTGGCTTCCGTGTCCTGGATCTCTGGGCTGGACCGGGGGACCCTCAGTGTCCCATTGCCCAGGTGGTAGTGATGGTGATGGTGGTGGTGATGGTGCACTAGGTGGTGGACAGATGGGCGGCGGTGGGAGCGAGAACAACTGCTGCTGGGCTGGGGTTCCTGGCCCCCACGGGCCACTGGACTGCTCAGGAGCCCAGCACGCACGCCCACTGCTCGGAAGACCTGGGCCAGCCTGCGGGCGCCTTTGCGGAGGATGTACACCAGGTACTTGAGAAGCTCCTCATAACAGCTGCCTGGTTCTGAGAAGCTGGCTAGGGTGCTCGCATTGGACAGGAAGCGCACCCGCTGCTCCCGCATCAGCTGACTTTCCCGCTGCTTGGTCTCTGAGAACTGAGTTGCAATCACCACCAGGCACAGGTTGATCATGAAGAAGGAGCCCACCTGTTTGGGTGGGGACAGGAAGAGGAAACGTCCTGAAGAAAAGGGGACTCCAACGCTGGCTGCTGAGTAGGTCATTTCCTACAAACCAGACTCTGGGTTTAATTACTTTCCAGGAATTATCTCGTTTTATTCTGGCAGCTTCAGGGGTCATATCAGATCTCAGGGGTCACTATCACATCTCTATCTTATTAGTGAGGATACTGAGGCTCAGAGAAGTGGAAGCATTTGCCCAAGATCCTCAGCTAATGCACGGTCACGTAAGACTTAAGCCAAACACTAAGTAATTCCAAGATGCCGCTACTGATCAAGATGTTCCCCGGCAAGAATATTCCCAGACTCCCTGCCCACCCCCAAGCATGCCTTCCCTAGAGACTCTCTGAGCCCCACTCCCCAATTCCCATTAAGAATGGGGAGGGCTGTGAGAATGAATGTTATCTTGGGCACATGGGAATTTCAGGTTGGATTGAGCCTTTGAAATCTTGGCAAAACATCGTCCTCAAGACTACACTTCTAGCTGCATGACCTTGGGTGAGACCCTTAACCCTTCAGAATCCTCATCTGACCACTCCCTGTGCCCTCCCTTCTCTACAGCCAGGGGAGGGGCTTACATACTAGCCAAGCTGTCACTGGTTTGCCCACACTCCCTCCCCACTCCCCAGCTCCAGGCCTCAGTTTCCTCAAGGCATATAGGAAATGAATATTTATAGTGACAAAGCAGATTTTTTTTTTTTTTTTTTTAGATCTTGCCCTAGTAATTATGATAATTAGTTTCACTAGTGTGATTCCAGAGAGCTATTTGGGAAGATTTTTCAGGGGGTGTGTGGGAAGGTGGAGAGGCCCCTTACCTTCCTGTCTGCTCCCTGCCCCCCTAGCCCAGGGAGCGCAGCTGAGTGAGGGAAGAAAAGGCTGTTCTCCTAAGTGCTGGCCTCACTCCTCAGGTAGGTGATGGCTGAGGTAAGGACACACCTCCAGCAGGCTTGTCCCAAGCCTGACCACTCTTCCAAACCAGGAAAAGTTCTGGGTGCAGGGATGGCCTCGAATGCTGTGCTTTCTCAGGGCCTACCTTTGGTCACTTTAGTTGGCGCCACCAAGAACTGCCTTATCCTGTTTCCACCTCTCTCTGGAGCTAATTCTAGATTCCTCTTGCTGTTGTTAAATGCTGTTGAATCGGGTCCCACTCATAGATACTATTGGGTTTCTGAGGAGCCGCTGGTTAACTTGAACCGCCAACCTTACGGTTCAAACTGACTTTGCAGTCTAGAGCATTAACCCACAGCACTACACCAGGACTCTGGAAGATCCCAATCTCTTTATCTCCTTCATTCAGGATCTGTCCCCTCTGTCTTGGCTCAATCACAGACTTCTGGTGACATGGAAAAGGAGCTGGGCTTGGACTCAGCAGCATTGTCAACTCCAGCCACTTACTTGTTGTGTGACTGGCCAAGTGACCAACCTCTCTGAGGTTTCTTTATGAAATAGGGTCCACAATCCCCACATCCCACACCTCACTGAAGGTTATCTGGACAGCAGAAGTTATAGCACCAGGTCTGCAATGACACCCAGCCCTGTCCAATGACATTAATCAACACCATGCAAAGCACATAGGAGGGTCAGATAAACAGGAAATGCCACTTTCCTCATTTGTAAAATAGAGGAATGATCACAGGATAGGAGTGAGAATTATGCACTAGTTTATAACAAAAAATGATTAGATATGTTTTGTTGTATCATTATAATTTTTTTTAAAGTGAATAAAACAGGCTGATGTTTACTAAGTGCCCAATAAATATTAGCTATAAATTGTAGTAATTAAATGATTAACTCTAAATGGGAGTGTTTGAACTATTAAATATTGCCAATTTTGCCTCTGTTTTCTGTTCTCTTATGGTCCTGGAATTTTTGACCTGGAAATGCAGTGTTTCTCAACATTGTTGTTGTGAAGTGTTGTGGAGTCAGTTTTAACTCACAACGACCCTCTGTAGGGTTTCCAAGGCCAGCTGGTGGAGTTGAACCACAGATCTTGTGGTTGAAACTGACCTTAAGGTCCATTAAACAATTGGACAATTCTTTGTTTCAGGATGTTTACCACCCTCTTTCCCACCCCGTGCACAAAAAAATGTCAAAGGAGTCCCCGCTAGTCCTCATTAAAAAAAAAAAAATCACTCTTTGCCATTTTCAAATGTCTTGTATGGGAGGAGGTATCACCCTGGGTTGAGAATCACCCATTTTACAAAATGCACAGGATGAGGCTGGGGCCTCATGGGGATTGATTTACTCAAGGTCGCTTGGTGGTATACCATAGGGCCCAGCCTTGACCTTGGATTCCCTCCTGAGTCCTCATCTGGTGTCCTTTCACAACAAAACACTGCTCTCACTGACATGTCCCGAGAGCTTAGAATTACAGACCCAGTAACCCTTCCTCTCTCTGGACTCCCTGAATGTTCCCCCAAGATGCCCCCCTCCCTGAGGCTTGAGGAGTCACTCACAATGATGAGGAGGATGAAGTAGATGAAGTTGTAGAAGGAATGAGCATCCATCACAAAGTACATGATGTCCACCCAGCCCTCCAGCGTGATGACCTGGGAGGAGGCAGAGCAGCAGACTGACCCAGGCCCACCCTAAGCATCCTAGTTCTCCTCCAGGGCTCCTGACCCCACCCCACTCCTGAGAAGGACCACTTGATGCCCAACTGTGTCCAGGGACTGGAGTCTGGGCGGCTACACAGTCCTGCTTTCCCGGGACCCAGGCTGCCCCACCTGAAAGATGGCAATCCAGGCATATCCGATGTTGTCAAAGTTGATGGCACCCTTGAAAGGGTTGCGCTCCCCCGCAGAGCAGTTGGTGTAGTACTGGTTCCAGTTGACGCAGGTGGTGTTGCTGGAGCTATTATAGGCCTCATAGTCCAGCCCACAGGGTGGGCCACCTCCCCCATCCCCTCGAAGCGTGGGCACGCTCCGGCAGGACCGCATGCCATTCTCGCGAGGCTGGGAGCAGATGAAGGGGCTCTCGTCCTCATTTTCTGTCTGGTAATAGCGCTCCAGGTCCACGCTCAGGGGGCTGCAGGTGGTGAGGTGGGCAGAGATAAGACTGGGGAGCAGGATCCTCCCAGGAAGGGAGAGTGGGCTGAAGCATGCAGGATGAAGAACAGGGCAGGAGAACCAAGTGGGTGGGGAGAGCAAGAATGGAGGGATTTGTGGGCATGGGACTGGGGGTACTGGGTGTGCGGAGACTGAACAGGGGATGGGCAGAGAGATTAGATGGCTGGTTTTCAAACTCTGCTGCACATGAGAATCACAGAGCCATGCCAGGCTAGACCCCAGTCCAATTAAATCAAAATCTCCAAGGGTGGGTTCCAGGCATTATCAAGTCTTAAAACTCCCCTGGTGATCCTAATGGGTAGTCAAGCTTGAGAACCAGTGTTGGGGCATGTTGGCTGTCAGGAACAACAGGAATGGGGGGGATCCGAGGAAGCCCAGCCCCATAATCATTCCCAGGTCAACAGGTCAGCCCTTCCTGTACACCACTCACAGACTGAAATTCTCGGGCAAGAAGCATCGGTTGCGAAGCAGCCCAGCCCAGAGCTGGACGCCGACGATGCCGAAGATGAAGAAGACGAAGAAGCAGAGCAGCAGAACATTGCCCAGCATGGGCAGTGTGTCCAGCAGCAGTGTGACGAGGATGCGCATGCCTGTGGGGGCAGAAGTCACGCTGGGCCCGCCAGGTTGGCTGGGCTGGGCTGGCTGCCACAAGCCTGGCAGTGCTCCCAGGGGGCCCACCAGGGACTGAGGCTGAGATGGTCCAGCTCAAGCAGGAAGGGAGACCAACAAGCACTCCCCAGGCAGCCCCAGCCTCCACCTGCCATGATTACCCTTGGCTCACTTGGGACCACCAACCAGGAGCCAGCAGAACTGTGGTTTCCAGACACCCCCACTAAGCATGGTGGATGATGTCACCCCCAATCTACAGAGATGTCCAAACCTCAGAAAACAGACATGACTTGTTCAGGAGCATAGTGTTGGTACTGCAGGCGCCGGGACAAACCCAGGCTGCTTTGGCATCCTATTCCCCAAAACACACACACACACACACACACACACACACACACACACTCCCTTCCTACTTCTTTCTCTCACCAAAGGGCCACCTATGGTCCCCTGCCCCCACCAAAGAAAAAGCTTCTAAGCAGTTAACCCTTTGGTGGCTGCAGTATCACCATCTCCCCTTCTAGCCCACCCTTCTCAGTCCCTCTTCCCTCACTCCCACCCCATCTCCCTCTGCTCCTCTGTGCTCCAATTGAGAGCAATTCCTCAGGGTTTGCATTAAGGGAATTACACCGGTGGGGAGACAGAGGCCTATAAATCTGCCAGCCCTCACCCAGGGTGGGAGTGGAGGTGAATGTATGCCCCTCAACACATCTGGAGCACCTATAAACTCCAACACACCCAATGCCACAGCTCTGCCCACCCAGAGGGGCCCTGCGTCTTGCTCACACACACACCCAGCAAAGGGGTCTGCTGTCAAATCCAGGCAGGGCCCCAGAAACATGCCCCCTCAGTACAGGAACCGCAGAAGGGGACCATCTGCAGTGTAAGCAGGGTTGGGGAATTGCAAGGGGGCCTGAGCATGGGTGGGGAGGGCAGGGTGGAGGGGGAACCAGAGCTGCCAAGCTTCCTGGCTCGGGAAACCAATGCGGTTTAATTTAGATAATGGTCCCGCAGTCGCTGCGACGGGGCTGGAAGGGGTGGGGAGGAGGAAGGGGCCAAGGCAGGCAGGGAGAGTGAGCCATGTGGAATGTGGTCATGTTCCGTGTGGCCAGTGGGGGTTCACCAGTGAGACCCAGACTGAGCACAGGGCCACCCTGGCTAGAAATGGCCACTAGAATATCGCTACTCCTCTGCTGGCCTGCTCCCCTCCCCCACCACTGCCTGTCCCACGCTAGTCCACTGGGGCAACTGGTCACCTATGTGGAGGGAAAGGCCATCTGAGATGTTTCTGAGACCCTGACTCCAAACCAGGATGAAGTAATACACAGGCACGAAGAGGGGCTTCCCGTTAACCCTCTCTAATGCCAGAGCCAAGCCCAGGGGACCCTGTCTCTGCTGAGAGTGCCAGCCCCATCTGGTCTGTTCCTACTCAGCCTGGTCGGGCGAGGGCACGGTGGTAGGATTAGGCTCTGAGATTTCCACATTTCCTCTTGAGGCTGGGGGCTGAGGGGGTCACTCACTGGGCACCCGATTAATGGCCCTGAGTGGTCGCAGCACACGGACTGTCCTGACAGCTGAGAAGCTGACGTTCTGCAGGTCCAGTGAATACTCCAGCATCCTGCAGGGAGGGGCCCAGAAGAATCAAGAGGTCAACTAAGAAGCCTGTGGGGAGGGGGGTGCAGCAGAACCTGACTACACCACCCCCATCACACAGGGAATGGAAGAAGGAGGTACTGGATCAGAATTCAGATCTAGGATACCCTTAAGCTCTTAGTGGCTACCACTGGTTAGTGCTGATAGATGGTGACCCCATTGGTGTAAGAGTAGAATTGTGCTACATAGGGGCTTTCAGTGGCTGGTTTTGGGGAAGTAGATCACCAGGCCTTTCTTCCTCAGCCTTTGAGTAGCCAGGAACCTCTAATCTGTTAGCAGCTGAATATGTTACCCATTTGCACCACCCAAGGCTCTCCTAAATGGGTGGCCAGGGAGAAAGCAGGAGCTGTGACTGGTCTAGGGGGTATTGGGAAGCCTAGAACCCTGGACCTGGGGAAGGGACTGATGTGACTCATTGCTCTCCTGCCCCAATCCAGGCCCTCACCCTGCAATGACGATGAAAAAGTCAAGCCGGTTCCAAGTGTCTCCCAGGTAACACTTTTTTCCAAAGATGCCCAAGGCCACCATCTTCACCACCATCTCCACGGCAAAGAAGGCAAAGATGAAGTCATCAAAGGCCTGATTAATGTAAGGACAAACATCTGTTGAAACTGAGAAGGGGGTCATGGAACACCCCCACCCCAGCCCCCACCCATGGTGCTAGGGTCCCCCATAGAGAGATGAAGCCAGAGGTGTTAGGGTCAGGAGCTCACTCCCTCCAGCCCAGCCCACACCTGCAGAATCCGGCATCGTTGGGAGTCACAGGCAATGTCTTCACATGGCCGGAACATGCCCAGGGTCACACAGTTGAGCAGGATGACCAACATGCTGATGCGCTCGAACCAAGTATCAGGGCAGTCAAGGAAATAGCCAGCCAGGGCGCAGGAGCTGAAGCCATGTTTCCACCTCCTGCCTGTTGACCTCCCAACCCCACCTAAGACAACTGGCAGGTAACCAGGTTGATGAGGGACCCTAGGCTACACCTCAGACCAGTCCCAGGCCCAGGCTTGTCTTCGTTATCTCACTTCTTTGGACCCAGCTTCCTCCTCCATAAAGTAGTAGCAGTAGTTGTTGTTGTTGTTGTTAGGTGCCATCGAGTCGGCACTGACCCACAGTGACCCTATGCACAGCAGAACGAAACTGTCCAATCCTGGGCCAACCTCACTACTACTGCCATGCTTGAGTCCATCCATGCTGCCACTTGGCCAATTCATCTCGTTGGGGGTCTTCCTCTTTTTTTCTGACCCTCAACCTTAGAAGAAGCCACAAATACCCAAGAATTTGCACATTCTATTTAGAGGGAAAAAATCAATCATGCTTATAGAAATGCCAGATACCAAGGGTTTGCCACTGAATTGGAATCCTGTTCTCCCTACCTCACAGGGAAGAAGTGAGAAGCAAATGAGAATGTGGATGAGGATGTGTTACACAAACCTAAAGTCACATTATGCCTGGCATAGTTTACCAAGCATCTTCACACGATGCCACATTTAAAGCTCACAACAGTTCTGTCAAGGAATCAGGGTAGATACCTCTATTTCTCAGAACCCAAGGAAACTGTGGCCCAGAGAGTCAAAGTCATGTGCCAAAGGTCACTTGAGAAGCTAGAAAAAGACTGAGATTTTCCAGCTCCTAACATGAGGCTTTCTATTCCTGTGAAGATGTAAAGCCTCGGAATCCTATATAGTGTTGCTATGAGTCAGAACTGACTCCACAGCACTTAACAACAACATTATGAGATGCTTTCTGCCTCATACCACAGTTGCTCAGGTGTGTAGGGAAAGCTGCCGTGACTCTCTTAGCACCAGACAGACAGGCAGAGGATCTACGACTGCAGCCTTCTTCAGCAATAGCACCAGAACCCAACGCTGCCTCTTCTACCACCATCCCCCCCATCTCTCAAAACCATCCAACTCCTAGGATCACAGCCTCAGACAGTATCTAGACACATTCCCACATTTCAATAATGAGGACCCACTGCATGCCAGACACAGAGTGGACAGTACGCCATACCAGCCAGGCCACTGTCCCACCCTGTGGCTTCCAGCAGAAATCCTAGTCCAGATCAGCTAAAAGAGACTCCATTCTGCAGCAAGGAGAGATTCCTGAGTCTTTCTGCTTAGTGGATTCTACTGAGAAACTCACTTCCAGCCCATCAGCAGAAATATGTACAAAATGACTTCTGGACCTTAGAAGGTTCCAGACAGCAGACTCACAGATAAATGACCAGGCATCCCATCTTTCTCAAGGAAAATATCTGGGATATGAAAGGGGTGGAGGAGAGCACAAAGGCTAAAAACAGATAAGCAGAGATGGGGGCTAGGGAAAGAAGGCCTAGAGTAGGTATCATAGCAACCCAAGGTGAAATCCACCAAACCAGAGTCACTAAGGAGAGAATAGGGCTCAGAGCAGATGATCAATCTTCCTGTCTCAACCCCACTCCTGGAAGGAGAATGCTTTGGCCAGGCATGAGAGCAGCAGGAATGACCAGAACCCAAGGACCTTCCAACTAACTGGTTTCAGGCATATTCCAGCTGTCTTGAATCCCAGTGAGCCCTTACCCCAGAGACCCACATCTCCCTCAGTCCCCTCACTTTCCTCCTAACCCACTCCTCTCTCACCAACCGGTCCTTTATCCTCAGATTCCCCACCTCCTCTCCCTAGTACTCCAGAATTCCCAAGGAATTGTAATTCCCCTAACCGCTGCCCCCTTACAAGAGTGAAAAATTTAAAAGAAATATGCTTTAGGTTTTGGGGGTTAAATGGATAAAAGGGGGAAATAAAATGAGTGTTCTGTTTCCATGGAGCTGTTTTCCTTGAGTGGAACCAGAGCCCAGTGGATCTCTCCTCAGAATGGGGTCAGCCAGGGGTCACCCTGGAACAAAGTGGCAGGGAGGGAGCTCCCTTGGAGTCATCACTGGAAAGAGAAGGACACGGTTACCCTCAAGAAGAGGCCGTTTTCCCAAGCTAGTCCCCCCCACCCCCCACCCCCGTTCTCCACTGCAGTGGAGGGCGTTCTCCTGGGAAGAGGGGCTACAAAAGTATCTCTTGTAGATCTCTCTAATGGCAGTGATTCCACCATGTTACAATCATCTCTGGACTTGTCTGATGTCCTTGCTGGGGGACGGGCTCTCTGTTACATCATCTCTTCTATAAAGCTTACAACAGTTACTGGGATATGGCAAATGAGCAATACATAGGAAGAATGAGTGCGTGAGTAAATGAATGAATGAATGTCAGATGTGTCTCCTCATTCATGTTCTCCTACCCCATTTGTCTTGATAGCGATGAATTGATGGTCACCAGCGTGGAGGTGAGGAAAAGGCAAAGGCGACATCATCAAGGGGTCAGATCTCCTTAAACATGCTCAGATAGGGACTTCTGGTGACCAGAGTCTGCCTCCACACAACCTTAACCCTGGAAGCCCTCCTTGGCGATTCAACTTACTCCCATTTCATCTCTACCTCTCTCCTTTCACTATAGGTACAAAGAAGTGGAATGGAAAGAGACTACGGCACAGGAATATTTAAGACAACCTGAATCGAGGAATAATGAACTCTCATTAAGGGGGATGGGCGGGGGGTGTCTTTCACCTTTCTCAGGGTGGAACTTGTTTCCCTGGGAACATGGCCGTATGTCACTGTGTGATGCTCTTCTGTTGCCATAACAACAGTAGAATGTGTCACCAGGTGGTGTGGATTGGTTGCCATGGTAATTAAAGGGACCCCTCACATCTGAACTCCCCTTACCCAGGCTGCTATCTTGTCCTTATGTTGGGAAGGGGAAGTGGGGAGACCCACAAGTTATCAGATTGGGGAAAGCCATGTGACAAATCACCATGACAACCAATGGAACGGGGGACACGGGTTGCCATAGTGACTATGAGAGACCTGTGCAGTCACATGTCTACTGTTGCTATGGTGACTGTCCAGGCTGGAGTGGATCCCAAAGGGGGAGGGGGGACAGTAGAGGGGAGGATCTTTCTTCTCACAACCCACCATCAAAAGCAGAGAAAAGGGAAATGGCAGGGAGAGGAACCCCACTTCCATTCCTCCTCCCTCCTGTTATCTCCACAATTGAGACCTCTCAGATGGTCTTTATCTAGAGTCCTTGCCTACCAGGAGCTGTAAGAGTGAGAGAGGTGGGGAGAGAAGGGAGGAGGGCTGGGGTAACTCCAGGACTGTGGGGGGGGGGCTCCAGGAAAGAAGAAGGCCCTCCAGCTGCCCCATTCCCTCATAGGAGTCTGGAAATCTGAGACCCAGGAACACTGAGGGGGAAATGGGCCTGGACCCAGAAATCCTAGTCTCCTAGTAAGGGCTGGGAAGATGGGGTGGGGGCAGGTCCTTCTTTCAGCCAACCCAGGGACAGGCTGGTGTCCATCTGATTGGGCAATCCCAAGGGTGGAGTGGGATATAGGGGGGCTCCCCAGCACGAGGCTGAAAGGGGAAATCCCCCAGCCAAGCCCCCACTCTGACAAGTCTGATTCTCTGTAGTTTCCCCCACCCGCTCCCGTCCAATGTGTGGGTGTGTGGGGAGAGAGGTTTCCAGCTGAACTGAAAACTGAAGCCCATAGAAAGGCAGCCGGGCCCCACCCAGAGACGTGAGTGAGACACAGACACAAGAGAGTCGGCCGCTGGAATCTCTGGGAAGGGAAATAGGCCAAAAATCTGATTCAAATGTCTATGATTCTGTGTGTGTGTGTGTGTGTGTGTGTGTGCTCACTCATGTCTGCATGTGTGAGCAGTTGTGTCTGCTGTCATCCTGGCTGAGGCGGGGAGCAGGCATGGGGTGAGGGGGTGCTATATGGTGGAGGTAATCCCAGGAATGACTCCTATTGGCACTAGGGGTGATGGGGAGTTCCCCCCACAGTGCGGTAGAGAAGAATAAGTGGGAAGGAGTGTGTGTGTGACCCAGAAGGATGGGAGGCCTGGATCAAAAAGTGTGCCAATGAGTGTTCTGTTCCTCCCTACTATCCGGTCCCAGCCCTTCTCCCCAGAACCCCCTCTGGAGAGCTCTGGGGTTGAAAAATGGGAGGAGGGACTAGGGAAAAGGCAGGAAACACCTCCACCCCAACCCCACCATTTCCTCTGAGGACCAAAATGGAGATTTCTCCCTAGGTAAGAGAAACAGGCTGACAGGGCACTGGGACAGTGGCAAGGAGGACTTCTGATATTCCTGGTATGCCCTCCCTTCCAGACACACACATTCAGACACGCACAGTGACGCACAATCACCATTCGCATTCACTTCTGGAAGCCATTAGTGCTCCTGCCAGGCACCCCTCCCCCCCTCTCCCCCCCCCCCCACTCCCCCTCTCTCGGCATCCCAAATGCCAGCCTGTGATTTCCAAATGAGAAAAAGCTGTGCTGGTCTCTGAGCTTGGAGAAACTCCTACACAAACTTCCAGATGTGACACAACAGCCGGGAGAGGGAATGCTCAGGATCTCCTTCCCGGGAGGGGAAGCACACTCCCTCACACTTGAAGAAGAACACACTGCACATACTATACCCTGCAAAGAAGTGGGGGCCTTTCTCACTATGTGATGACTGTCCAGGAGTACTCCTGGTCTCCCCAATACCAAAACACGCCTGTCTGAGGCCCTCTTCCTTTTGCTGGCCCCGACAACATATATACACACATACACATCACTTCCTACCCGAGTCTAGATCTCCTCTTTAGGAAACCTGCTCTCTTAAAGATGCCAAGAAAGGAAGGTTGGAGAAAACTGAAGAAAAACACAACAGTGTCTTAGTAAAGGGTGTCTTTATGTTTTTCTGGTTCAGAGGCATAGAGAGAGACCTTGTGGGACTAGGTAAACTACACAGACAAAGGGAAAGACTGAGGCCCTAGAATCATTTCAGAGCCTCTGATGGTGAAAATACAGGTTTCCCTTTGAACTTGAGCGGGATGGGGAGGAGTGAGGCACAGTTCAGACAACCCCCTTGCCAGTTAACCCAGGCTTGGCGGCTCATCCTGACCTACTGATGCTGATGCCCCAAGCCACAGCTTGCTTCCCCCATCCCCAAGATGAGTTCTGGGTTCCCACCTCTCTTCTCATTCCAGCCTTCTCCACTTGCCTCCTCCAGGACCCCTCTAGAAAGAAGCCTGCCCTCAGACCCTCCATTAGTACCTGGAGATAGGATGGGTGGGGAGAGATTTGAGCCATGAGGTTTCTTTTGGGGGAGGGCTGCAGCCCTAGATAGGGGAGGGGAAGAGGTCTGAAGTGGTTTCCCATTCATGGAGAGAATAGGTGGTTGGGCTGGAGAGGAGGGATGCTCAGAGTCCATCCTTCACATGGACACTCATTCCCATCTCTATCTCAGCCATGGACAAAGGGCCTGGTGCGCAGGCCCCAGAGCATAAGATATGCCCATTTGGCAGGTTCTCAGACCTCCAAGGTACTCACTTCTCTCTCTCTCTCTGCAGCTGAGAGAAAAGGAGAAGGGGAAAGAGTTGAGGAGAAGATCCAATACCAGGAGCTTCCCAAAGACCCATGGATTTTGGGGGGCAAGTTCACAGCCCTGCTTTGCATACTGGAAGCAGCAGAGCTGCAGAGAATGAGAGCAACACCAAGCTTCCCTCCTCCTTCCTCTAAGCAGTCTTGGCTGGGACCCTATGGGGGCTACAAGAACCTCTGAGTTGGGGGGAAAGAGCCAAAAAAGCTGTCAAGACCTGGGATGGCAGCGCACCTCCCTCCCCTTCCTTCCGCTGGTAATGGGACCAACCCGGGAGGCTGGAGCCTGGCATTAATTAGTCAAGCAACGCTTTGTGAGAGGGTCAGAGGGGGAAGGGCCTGGGGTGTCGGGGAAGGGAGCTGGGGTCTTCCCTATCACTCAAGACTGAGCAGGGGGAGGGCAGTGTTAAATCCACCTCCTTGGAATGTGGGGATTGCAGCCGCCAAACCCTTCGGACCCGTAGTATTTCATAGCTACCCGCTTACAGAATCACTGTCCCCCGAAAATACTTTCGGAGATCTGCGATCATCGTACCTACTCCGAGAGCAGAGGGGAGCACTCTATTTGTGAATGGGGAGGAGTAACTTGGGCCGACTAAATCCCATCCCCCTACCCCGGCCAGCGCTTTGCCCAGTCTTTCCCTCCACAAGGCAAAATCTAGCTTACAAAACTCCCCAACCCAACCTTCAGCGCCCCGCAAGTAATAAAGACTGGGGTACAGGGAGGGACGCGGTATTGGGACCCAACTCAGAGAGGTTCGACTGGAGCTCTGAGGGCAGACAGCTTCCCTCCACCACATCATGTTCGCATTCTGTGCGCCTGACATCAGCCGCGGCCGGAATCTCCTTGTTGTTCCTCCAACCCGCGGGGTGGGGGGTTAGGGGGGAGGCTTGAGGGGGGGGTAAGTCCTGGTCCCCGCCCCCACAACCTCTACCACTGAATCAGTAAAATCCTCAGCCTCGAGGACCAGGTAGAGAGGACTATACCCCAGAATCCGCCGCAAACTTTGGGGCGGGGGCAGGAGGGAAACCCAGAAGATTGCAGTCCCCCCCTCCCCCGTCCCCGCAGCTTCCTTCCCACCCCACCCCCAAACTCGGAAACCAAACCCTGCAAGCTAACCTGCGGGCAGGCGGAGTAGAGCTCCCAAGCTCCCAAAGCTTCCCACATCTGGAGGACGACGACCCTCCCGTGCCCACAATTGGAAAGTATCCAGCTGCGAGCCAGCGGGGAACGCCTTCTGCCCTCTCCCGGCCTCGATATCACCCCATCACCATCGAGGGTTAAGGTGTGTGTTCGGAGGTGGGGCTCACCAGGGGTACCGTATTGACCTGCCACTAGCCCCCTCTCTCACTCTGACGCCCCCTCTCCTTCTAAGCAGACCCCTTTGATCCCCCACCCTCCAGGCTCACTTCTCCGACTCACCTGGCGTTTGGTCCCCTCCGGCGGCGCGGCCCGCCCCCCTTTGGGCCCCCCAGCCATCTGTCCTGCCCCGAAGGATATGGGTTACAGACCGTACGGAGACACCAGCTCCGCGGGCGGCTGTCCTGGCTCAAGTAGAAAAAAACGACCGGGGCCAGCGCCGGGTACGGCAGCCCCTCCGCCTCGGAGTCCGCGCTGCCGGGGTCCTTCTCCGCCGACCCCGGCCCCGGCCGACCCCCGGCCCCGGACAGGTCGTTGAACCGAAAGCAGCTCCGGGGCTGTCCCGACTCCTCGGCGCCCGCTCCATCCTCCTCCTCATCCATCCTCTAGCCAGCCGGGGCCCCAGGCGGTCCGGAGAGGGGCGAAAGTAGCCCCTCAGAGGAGGTGTCCTCACGCAACCGGGGGGGCCCGGCGGGGGCGCATCTGGGGGGCTCTAGGGTGCAGGCTGAGCCCCCGAGAGGGCCAGTTCAGCCCAGTTCCCCTTGCCCGCAGGGGCATGCTGCCCGCGGGGCGCCGGGCCGCAGGGGAGCCTCGCCCGGCAAGAGTCCCGCTTTCCCTGGGCCCCCCGGGCCAACTGGCCGGCTACCCCTCACTTTGTTCCGGTTTCTTCGCTTCGAGCCCAGGCTCCGGCCGCCCAAATCGGCGCCACCTTCGGCGAAGCGGCCCCAAGAGGGTAAAAGGGGGGCACGGGGCTGAGGGTTGGGGTCCAGGGAGGGGCGCCCTCTCTTTCCACGACGCCGCTGGAGCGGGATCTAAGGGGTCAGCATCGTCCCGGCTCCGCGCCAGTGGCTGCGGGGGGAGGGGAGGAGGGATCTCTTTGGCGGTGGGTTTGGAGGGGGTGGGGGGCGGCTCCTTCCTCCGCCCTGCGGCCGGCTCTCGGTCCGGGAGGGGCGGGGAGACGGTGGGGGGTCGTCCCAGCCGGGGGTGGAGGCGGAGATGCCGCCGCCGCAGCCGCCTTGGTAGCTGCCACTGCCGTAGATGTCGCCGGCGCCACTGCCTCCTCGGGCCGAGACGCGGAGTGAGCGAGCGAAAGCGGCGGCTAGGAGCCCGGCGCACACCACAGCTGGATCCCTCACTCCAACTTCAAGCCTCGGCCCCGCCTCTCCTCAGCCAGCCTCTCAGCCAATCGCGGCGATCAGCCAGTCCCGAGTCGCGCGTCCATTGGCCGGCCGCCGTGGCAGTGCGGGCGGGGACGTCGGGGGAGAGAACCACAGCTGGAATCCGGTTCCCACCCCAAAATCCAGGACCGCCTCTCTCCCCTCCTCTTGCTCCTGGGTCCGCTCCCGAAGACTGGAGCCAATCAGACGGCCGTCCAGAACGAACCCACTTTCCTATTGGCCTCTGGGGTCTCTGGGACTCCCCTGAAAGGAACCCCCGGGAATCAAAGGATGAGGCGCAGGGTCTTGGAGTAGAGCCTCCAGCCCCTGAGCATCTTTTGCCGAGACCTCCAAATTGGATCGCAGCAGGAGGGCGGGGCTTAATTCTGAGCCTGCCAGGAGGTGAAGGGAGATGGGCGACCCAGAGTGAAGGGTGTGACCAGCGTCCCAGCGTGAAATCTTGGGTCTCCACCTGGTTAATCGCCTACCTGGGGTAGGAGAAGAGGAGCTGGGCATTCCGTGGGTGGGGCTTCAGCATAGAGAGACGGCCTTGGGGAAGCAGGCGGAACCAGGGAAAAACCTGGGTAGGCAAGATTTGGGTTGGTGGTCCTGCTCTAGGTTTGCTTCTAGGTCAGATTTTGACCCTGACCTCCTAACCCTAATCCGCTGGCCCCATCTCACGCGGATACCCCTAGGCTTCATTCCCTCAGCGCCTTGGGAGGCTTTAGGAGGGGTGTAGGCCCCACGTGAGGGCTTTGTGCTTGAACACGTGGCCTTGGACAGGTTGAGCCTGTCGGAGCAGAACCGGTATGTAAGAAGCAGCTGCAGAGCGAAGCAAGGCCCCAGCAACCGGCCCTGTAGGAGCGGCGATTGTGGAAACCTAGAACTTATAAATTAGACTTTTAACCTGTAAAGCTCCCACCACCCACTCCGTGCATTTTCGTCCTCTCCAGCCCTAATCTACCACTAAGGGGGAAGCTGTCCAAAGGACAACACCTTTCTGGGGATGCTCTTTCAGCACACTAATACCCTACAGGGAGCCGGTCCTCTGGAGTCTGCGGCTGCCCACACGCACGCGCAGACCCCGGCCCTCGCTCCGCCTCACCTCGCGGAGTTGCCGGGCTCTGTCAGCTCCAGCATCCTCCCGCTGTTTGGCTACATCCCAAGAGGCGGTGGATACCTGAGAGCGGAGCACCGCAAGAGTGCTGGGCCGGGTAGGTCGGGGGCCTACAGGGTAAGACCTCGGGAAGCACTTCACCAAATTTGATAGAGGTCGCCCCTGAGGAACCAAACCGCTTAGTTACCTCTAGGGAGACTTTGGGGGCTTACGCCACTGCGGAGAGGCAGAGGGATGGCCTAGATGACCTCTGGCGCCTCCCTGGCTCCCGAAGGGTTTTTCACTCGCCCCGAGGGTGCGCCACCCACACAGCCCCTGCGCGTCTTCGGCTGCATGAGGCTGGGGGCGCCGTGACTCGCACCCGGGGAGGGTGGCTGGAGGTGCAGCAGGCAGAGCTGCGGCTGCGCTTTTGCCTCCCAGGTTGCCCTTTCGCGGAATCCGGGTACCGAGTTGTGTAAATGAGGCCGGGTTTATTTGCATTTCATGCTAATGAGCATATCCCCTAAGTGCCTGACTCTCCTGGCGAGTGTCTCTGCTCTCATTCTGAGCGTGCGGCGCTGGCGTCTTGAACTTCGGTGCCATTTTCTGGAAAAGGGAGGTTATTTGTGGTTCGAACGCCGTGTCTCACACCACCGTGGTCCGTCCTGCCAGCCCTCAGTCTGTTAGTCGACCTGCCCTTCCTGGGCCAGGGTTAAGAAGCCCCAAGGCCGGCCCCGGCAGGTATGAACTATCATCAACCCCCACTTTGAAGAGTGGGAAATGAGGCCAGAGAGACTTGCCCAACCCCATGGTCAGGTTCCCCGCCGGCCAGCAGGCTCCACATCCATCATTCAGGACACCCCGATCTCTGGGCTGAACTTTGTTCTAGAACATACCCAGAAAGGGAGGCAGCACACACACACCATCTGGACCAACTGGACCCAGGGCTCCTTTGCTGGGCTCCAGGCCTGGGGGAGACTTACTACCAGAGCATTCCGATCCCTGGAAGAGGAGGGGGAAAGCACTTGGACAGCCAGTCAGAGACTCAGGTTAGTCTGAATGGGGGAGGGAAGCAGGGACGCAGGACCCATAGAGAAGGCAAAGGAAGCCTTTCCACCATTTTAAACTGCTCTCCAAGGCTCAACTCAAACATCACCTCCTCTGAGTGGTCTTTCAGCAAATACTGCAATGCCTAAGTGTCAAGGTACTGAAGATATAGAAAAAAGCCAGACCACAGTCTCTGGAACCTCATAGCACTCAACCGGACCCGGCAGCGCAGTGTTTGGTTCTGTCACTAAGAGTTGGAACAGACAACTGCACATAACAACGGTAGTGATCTGTCTCTCACAGGTAACTGTATGTTCCCTGAGTACAGAGACTGTATCCATTTTATTCATCAGGGTCTAAACTAATATGTGGCACATTGTTATTAAGTGCCCACAAATTGGTTCCGACACACAGACCCACTGTAGGGTTTCTAAGGAGCAGTCCAGTACATATTCTACAGTGCCACACCAGGACTCCAA